ATCCTCCTGCCTCAGCCTCCAGAGTGCTGGGACGACAGGTGTGCACCACCGCACATGGCCAGAGTGCTGCTTCTGAAAGGAGGTCCAGAGGACACCTTGGGAAAGGAGGGGAGGCTGCGTGTTTGTCCCCACCACCTCTGAGTGTCGCTGGCTGACACACCAAGTTCATGGATTGGCTGCTGTCTCTCCAGGACCTTCCGTCTCTTCTATTTGTGGGGCAGTTATGTACCCTGTGCATATCTGAAATATTTTTCTAATTATACAAATAATATAGTCTCAGAGAGAGCCAGAGACCCTGAGAAACGCACCAAATGAAAAAGAATGTAAATCTCACTTAATCTTGCCAGGCAAAAATAACTAACATTGACATATTAATAGGATCATTCCTTCCAGTCTGTTACATACTCATGTATGCATTTTTCTCTTAAAATAGTATAATACTGTATGTACTATTTTATAGTTAACTTTTAAAATAGCACTTTTCCACACAAAATTTAATATGATCCAAGTGTAATTACACAAACTGGCTGTAAGCCTGGATGATAGGGCTGGAAACCTTGGGAAAGATACTTTTATCTCCTTCGTGTCCTTGTCTGAAAAACGAAGGATTTCTTTTCAGTCCTAAAAGCCATTCTTGGCTGGAGGGGCGTGGTGCATGCCTCTAATCCTAGCTCTCTGGGAAGCTGAGGCAGGAGGATCGAAAGTTCAAGCCCACCTGGGAAACTTACGAAGACCCTGTCTTAAAATAAAAAATAAAAAGGGCTGAGGATGTAGCTCAATACAAACAGCTTGGGTTCAATCCCCAGTACCACAAAAAGAAAAAAAGAGAGGAAGAAAACAAATTTATTCTCCTGCCCAAGCCTTTTTGCTGTGAGATCTCACCACCATGGTATACACTAAGGATTCTAGGCAGCAGTCGCTCTCTGTGTCTACCCATGCTTCATTTGTACAAACTTTCTTTTCTGTTGGAACAGCTGTTCCTGGACTTATGAGGGTCTATGTCCTCTAGGTTCACCTACATTATAGCATATGTCAGAGTTGCCTTTCCTTTAAGGGCTGTGTAATATTCCACTGTGAGGGTATATCACGATACCCATGCATCTGTTGATAGGCCCTTGAGCTGCACCCACATTTTAGGTAGAAAAATATCTGATATGAACACAGGTGTACAAATAACTGTTCAAGTCCCTGCTTTTCCCTCTTTTGGGAACACATCTAGAAGTGAAACTGCCAGGTCACATGGTAATTCTATGTTTGATATTTGAGAGGCGACTATGTTATTTTCCACTGTGACTATATCATTTTACGCTCTTGCCAACAGTGTATAGGACTTCCACTTTATGTCTCTCTCAACGCTTGTTATTTTCTGGAGGCTTTTAACTTTTAAACTGTTAGAACCGGAAATTAACTTTTAGAACTGACCCTAAGAAGGGCTGGGGACATTGCTCTCTCAGAATGAGTGAAGCCTTAGATTCCACCCCTAGAACCACACACACACCAAGAGGATTAAAAGTTTATTCTGGGAAGCTGGGGGTGTGGTGCACACCTGTGATCCCAGCACTGGGGAGACCGGGGCAGGAGGCTCACCATGAGTTCGAGGCCAGCCTGGCCTCCATAGTGAGTTCAAAGCCAGCCTGAACTACACTTGTCTGAAAAAAACAACCAAACAAAATTGATACAAAGTCAAAATTGATGTTGGTAGCTACATCATATAACAGCATACCAACTAATTCTAAATTATCTTAACGCCTGCTTTATGTAGTTATTTGCATATTTTTCTTTTTGTTTGTATTTAATTTTAATTTGCTGAGTATAGTATGGAACTGGTCACTCAAAGTGGGAGGAGTTCTTGAGCTGCTTCCTGTGGCCTGAGATAACCCCTGGCTGGTGCAGGGACTTCCCCTGGGTTGCTGAAAATAGAACAGAGTAAAACAAACTCTCCCAATCATTTTTCAGAGAGGTCCCACTGGGAGGGTCTTTCTCCCTTCACTTTTCAAAATTTTAAAAAAATTTTTGGCTTTTTTTTTCTTTCTTCGAGACAGGGTCTTGCTGTGTAGCTACATAGCCCAGGCTGGGCTCGAACTTGCAGCAATCCTCCTACCTCAGCCTCTTCTCCATTCACCATAGTCTTTTTTTTTTTTGAGACAGGGTCTCCCTATGCAGTTGAGTTTGCCCAGGCTGGTCTCGAACTCGCAACGATCCTCCTGCCTCAGCCTCCCGAGTGCTGGGATTACAGCGTGCCCCACCACGCCCGGCTTCCATACACTTTAGATATCCCTTCTCCAGAGGGCTCTCCAGAGCCAGGCCATCTCAGGTCGCCCCTCCACACACCTCCGATATCCCCTGTAGCCTTATTTTCCTCTCTCTCCCTGCTTGGCCACCTGCAGATACTTTGTTTAATCATTGTCCCCATCAGAGGAATAAGCTCCATGAAGGTGGGAAACTTCAGTGTCCCGTTCCCTACGGATCCTCGGGCCCTGCTCGACGCCAGGCCCCAGTGGTTACGCAGCCATGAAGCAATGAAGGAGAATTCATCTTCCAGGATGGAGGAGGGCCAGCTAGGGAGGTGTGCCTTGGACTCCACCTTGAGAGGCTCGGAAGCCCCCTTTGTCCGTGATCCTAGGCAGACAGAAGTTTAAAAAAGTTTGGAGGTTTTTCCCAACAAGGGTTTTCTTGAAAGCTCTTGTAACTCACCCTGTTGCGGTAGGAGTAGAGAGAATCAAAACTGGCTCAAAACTAGAAGGGAAAGGAAATGGAACAGATGCGTGGCCCGCGAGGTGTGAGCTCTTCATTCGCACCCTGCTCTCCCCAGATGGTAAGGGTCCAGCCCCTTCTTGTTGGGTGGGTTCTGAGGGTGTCTGTGGCCTGGGCTCCCGCGGGGAAATCTCGTCCTCGTCAACTATTCATGAGGAGGGCGCTATGGGGGTGTGTTATTAATATTCATGAGGGGGCGGGCCTTCTTCCCGATGGGGCTCCTGGGGAGGCGCTAAATTATCCATGAGGGAAGAGGGCACTAGGAGCCTAGATTTTTGAGGGGGTGGGGCCTCCTTCCCGCTGGGTTTTCTAGAGGTCTCTAAATTGCCCCAGAAGAATAGGTGTACCACAGAGCTGTGGTGTTTATTATCCATGAGGGGGCGGGGCCGGGCCTCCGGCTTGGTGTCCTGGGAGCGTTCTAAAGGATCTCGGGGGGTACCACAGAGCCGAAAGTTTTACTATTCATGAGGGGGCGTGGCTCCCTCCCGCTGGGGCTCCTGGGAAGATTCTAAAACCTTCCTGAGGGCCCGCGGCGAGCGCTCAGAGCGCGCGGCGCTGACCAGAGCCGAACCCCTGATCCCGCGGAAAAGTCTGAGGAGATCTTTTCTCCTTTAAACAATAAGAAATTTGAGGACGATGGGGCAAAACGACTAAATCTCCCTTTCCTGTGGTTCCTTAGCCGGGAAACTGTCAAAGTCTGTGGTAAATAGAGCCCCGCACCCCTGTACTTCCCTGCGGAAATAATTTCACCTTTTCCCAGACTGAAGGGGTGAAAGACCGGCTTCTCAAATTGGCCAGTTATTCTGCGCGCAGTCTCCCTATTTTACTGTTTGGACCTGACTGAAAGGTTCTCAGAGGGTTTTGTTGGGTTAAACAATAAATGCGGACGGTTTCTGCTCGGGGTCCCCCGAGGGCCCCCAAAACCTGTCAGCCCCGACCAGAAGTGAAGCCGCGGGCCGGGGACCCGGAGACCGCTTCCTCGGGGTGCGGGCTGCGGCCGCGCGGGGGGCGGGAGGGCGCGAG